GCTGTTTCCCTTACCTCCTTCATGAATGTCTTCAAATGTCTTTCCAGTGAGGTCTCTCCTGATCTGTCTACCAGCTTTTCCCCATCTTACTCTGCTTTGTTTGTTGTTGTTGTTGTTTGTTTTGTTTTATTTTTTTGGTCCTGGGGATCAAACTCACAACCTTGCCAGGCAGGCACTTGTGTGGCTGAGCTAAACTCCTAGCTCGTTTTTTTTTAAGTATAGTTGTGCACTGCATACGAATGTCTCCGTGAAAAATGGATTGTACCACCTAGTGAAATCATAGTCATTTTAGCTTGTATAAGTACACTCTACGATTGCACAATGATGATACTGCCTCAAGTGCATTTCTTTTTGTTTGTTTGTTTTGTCTTTTTTTTTTTTTTTGGTACGGGGATCAAACTCACAACCTCACGCTTGCCAGGTGCCCTGAGCTAAATCCCCAGCTCAAATGCATTTGTTAGTATGTAGCCCTGTCCTTAGGCCACCATGACTTCCAACCATAGGCTCTTCAGGTTGTCAGGCAAAGCCATAGGAAACCGTGAAAGTTTATGACACATTTACTGATTTTCTTTCCCATGCTGTTCATGTTTTATTCCCAGGGTAGAACAGTGACCAGTAGACAGTAAATAAATACGTCACTATGATTTGGGAATTCCTCTGCCCTTCTGGAGCTCCCAATCTAGTGCTGAAGACCGAAGCAGAGGGACCCAGTGCTGTGCAGAATGGAGCACACAGCAAAGGAAGAAAAACACTTCTGGCAGCTAAGATGTGACAAACAAGAACAAACTTGCTTAGCAAGAGGGACAAGAAGGGCACATCTGGCAACAAAAACAGCTAAGAAAGCCCAAGAGATCAGACATGCTGGGCTGACTTTAGGTGACTCTGGGCAGTTCAAAGGCAGCTGGGGTCGAGAAGCAGAGTACAGCTTCCTTGTGCCAGGGATGAGGAGAGCCACAGGCTGGGCCAGGGCAGCAGCATGGAGAGAGGCAGACTTCACAAGAGCCCGATAGAGCATGGATCAGAAGGAAGCAAGACCGGGGAAGGGAAACCTGCCAGGAAGCTCTAATGAGTTATTTTACTTTATTTTTATCGGTACCGGGGATCGAACTCACGACTGCGCGCTTGCAAGGCAGGCGCTTACACCGCTGAGCTAAATCCCCAGCCCACTTTAATGAGTTTTGTTAGCACCTGAAGAAAGCAAAGCAGTGTAGTCCTGGAGAAGTAAACTAGAAAATCACTAAGAGATTAGGACAATGAGATTAGACTGTGACTCAGGGAAGTGGATTGTAGCTCCTGGTACACATGACAGTGGGAAGGGGCTGGAGAGAAAGGCCCAAGCCGAAGCCTATGGAACAGAGACACCTCATGTAGCTGCGGTGTAGCCATCTGGCGCTACATCTGGAAGTTGGAGCAGAACTCAGAAGCAGGGAATTCAAAACCATTAACTCAAAGGGAAGGTGGGATTGGAGAGTGCTCATGAAGAGAAGGGCCAGGCCCGCAGCCAGGAGGAGGAGACTATAGGAAATGGAGGAGAAGCAGTGTACGGTGGAAGCCAAGGCCTACACAGGGCAGAAGACATTCCAAAAAGAGATAGTGGCCACATGGAAGAGGTAGAGAGGGCAGGGAGAGGGCTGACTAAGGGAGAATGGCCCATAGACTAGACCAGGGAACAGACTACAGGAATGGGGCAGGCATTAGCACAGTTGCCTGGGGTCTTTCATAAGGAGAAAGACAAGAATTGGGAGACTGAAACTTCACCCTCTCAAGACTGCTTAGAAAGAGACACCCCATCTAGGCCAGGATTCTCTTCTTAGCCTCACTGAAAGGCAGGTCTCTGGTATGGATCCCCATACTGTACTTTCCTCACCTATAAAATGGGTTAATAGGAAAAACAACTGACATTTCTTAAGACTTATTTTGTAGGGGGCTGGGGATTTAGCTCAGCAGCATAAGCTCACCTGCCTTGCAAGCAGGCGGTCATGAGTTCGATCCCTGGTACCGATAAAAAAAAAAAAGATTATTGTGTGCTATGTTAAGGGCTCTCTCATCACATATTGTCTCATTTAATGTCCATAATAGTCTTAACAGACTGATGTTACTATCATCCTTGTTTTACAGATGAGAAAACTGAGGCAGATGGGAAAAGAGATGTTAAATCATTTGTTCAAAATCACACAGCAAATGAATGCAGATGCTAAGATTCAAACCCAAGAGGTGAATTATGGGTTAACATTGTATCACTAACCCAGGCACTAGCAGTTTATAGAGCATTTGCAGCACCTCCTGGGGTCAATAAGAGGATAATGAGAATCACGCACCCAGCTGAGATTGCCATATGTAGTACCTAAATAATGGCCTTTCAGAGATGTCCACCTCCTAATCCCCAGATCTGAATACATTACTTTACATGTCAAACCAGATTCTGCAAACTAATTCAGAGTCAAGATGTTAAGAGGGTCCTGGGTTATCCTGTTATCCTGGTGAGTCAATGTAAACACAAAGAGTATTATAAAAGGGAGGCAGAGAAGAAGATATAACAACAAGAGTGGGTGCTCTGCTGATGGGTTTGAAGATGGAAGGGAGAGGCCACCAGCCAAGGCATGCAGGTAGCTTCTACAAGCTATAAAAGAGGAGGAACCAGATTGTGCTTTAGAGCCTGAGGTAAGAACTGTCTCTGTGGACATGTTGATTTTAGCCGAGTGAGACTAATTTTGGATTTCTGACCCCCAAAACTATAAAATAATAAATTTGTTTCACTTCAAGTCACTAAATTTGTGGTAATTTGTTATAGAAGCAACAGGAACAACTAAATCACATCACTGCACCCTGGGGCCTTGGGCAGCTCTGACTCCACTATTATGACAGGAAACACCTTTATGTTTTTTAATGGTTCTTTTAAGTTCCATTTTGGTTCTTTCTGAACCTCAGTCTCTTCCTTCATTAAAAATTAAAAATAGGGCCAAGTGTGTGGCACATGGCTTTAATCCCAGAACTCTGGGCAGCTGAGGCAGAAAGATTACAAAATCAAGCTCTATCTAGGCAACTCAGCAATTAAGTGAGTCTCTGTCCCCAAATAAACAACAAAAATGGGCTGGGAATATAGTTTAGTATAAAAGCCCTGGTACCCAGTACCAAGGAAAAAAGTGGGGAGGGAATAGAGAGATTACATAATTGACCTGACCTCTGGTAGGCACAGAGGAAGAAGGATCTTATATGGCATGACATTTTCTACAAACTACTAGGACAGGTGAGGTATAGCTATTATCCCCATTGCTCAGATGAACAAACTAAGGCTCAGAGAGTAGAAATAGCCTGCCTAGAGCCACATAGATAGTGAGTGGCAAAGCTAGGACTTGAACCAGGGCGTCTGACCTCAGCTCTCCTACACTGAGGGCCATGTCTCAGAACCCAGTTCACATGCTGCCTCCTCAGAGAAGCCTTCCTGGACAATCCCAGACCATTCATTTACTCATGCATTTACAAAGCAGTTGCTATGACTGCCCCATTACTAACACTGAGGTAGATAAGGTGGGAGACCCAGTTATATCTTCAAGATGCGCACAGCCTAGTAGGTAAGATAAACACACAGATCAGTGATCCCAAAATAGCTTAACAAATACTGGAGCAAAGGGAAGGAAGCCCAAGGCATTGTGGGAATTCAGAGAAGGGAACTAGACTAAGCCTGGGGTCCAGAAAGGCTTCTTGGAGGAGGTGGAGACTGAGCAGGAGACAAAGAGGTCTCAAGTATAAGTGAGGGCCAGGGTGCAGGTGGAGGGGCAACGTGGCAGCTTCCTGAGGGCAGGAAGTGGGTTGGGTCATCCCAGGCCCCTATATCCCTCTGGGCTGCTGTGTTCCAGACCAGGGGACATGGAAATCATGGGCCTTGTTGTCCACAATGGTGACAACTGTTGGGCCCAGGGGGTGACTGAGTAGGAAGAAAGGTCCTGGGATTCCCAAAGGAAGAGAATGAGGTGAGGGAAGGTCAGAGGGGAGAACGAAGGAGGGCAGGGTGGGGGTTTTGGGGAGATGGGGTCCTGGCTCAAGCCCCTACTGCACATCTGATCACAATGTGACTATAGGAAGGTCCTCTCCGAGCCTCAGTGACCCCATCTGAGGAATGGAACGCGAGACAAAACAGTCTCTAAAGACCCTCCCAGCCCTGATGGGGGAAATGACATGACACAAAATTACAAAAGGGACTTTATTTGTAAAAAGCCAAAGGGGCCCCTGGGACAACAGGACAAGCAGGCCGGCTTCTCATGGGTCAGGGGCATTTGGGCAGATGCGCTTGAGTGGGGGGGCGCCCTCCGAGTCCTCTGTGTCACCCTGGGCTGCCTCAGGGACAGGTGGCACTGGCTCAAAGACGGGGTAAGCTTCAGGGGCCTGGAGAGGAAGGGCGGACAGGCATGAGCTCCACCCCACCCAGGAGTGCAGCCTCCTTGCCTCTGCCCTCTCCAGGGCCTCCACTCCACTCCCTGCCCGACCCAGGAGGCCAGCCCAGGGCCAGGCCACCAAGTTACAGCCGAAGGGGCCACAGAAAACAACAATGAACTACACTGTTTGAGGGAAAGAATCTGATCTTTCTGAAAAATGCATCAAGGTAGTCCTTGTGAGAAAAGTCAAGCTTATGAGACACTTTCTTAAGCTAATTTTGTGATTTAGGATTTTGTGTGTGTGTGTGGTGCTGGGGATGCAACCCAAGATCTCACTCTTGTGTAGCATGTTCTCTACCACTGAGCTACATCTCTAGCCTTGACTTTTTTAAATATATGGAGCACCATGATTATTTCACGGCTTCAATGCTCTTAAATCAGCCCTGATCCAGACCCCAGGACTGTGTCTCTAAAACACTCTTTACAGTACCCCCCGCAAATCTGGCCTGTAAGCCTTTGTTAGGTCCTGGGTCCACATCTCCCTCCTGGACCTCAGGATAAAGCCCCCAGTACCCTGGAGTCCCCATTCCGTCTAAGACCTGGGAGTACAGCCTTCTGGCCTCTCACCTCAGCTTCCAGCAATTCTGGGACAGGTTCCTCCTTGGTCAGCATTGGGGGTTCATCAGTCCCGCCTGCAGGTATGGCCGTGGGTTCTGCAAATGTCAAGTGAACAGACCTTCTCTGAGCAGCCACTCCATGCCAGTAACACGGACAGGGGAAAACAAACAGACAAGTACCAGTTACACAAGCTGGGGCTGTGAGAGCAGTGAAGAGTGAGCCAGGACCCTAGGTGCCATCCAGGATGTAGACAAAGGAAAGATTGCTGTGGATTTCTTTTTTTTTTTTTGGTATTGGGAATCCAACTCACACTTGCCAGGTAGGCGCTTATGCCGCTGAGCTAAATCCCCAGCCCATTGCTATGGGGTTTTGAACACACGCTTAGCACAGATTCTGTAGCTGAACTGCCTAAGTTCAACTTCTGACACTGGACCAGCTATTTAATTTCTCTGGGTCTTATGTTTTTACATTATCTATTATGTCCACCCTTTTGACTTGACCGATTCTGTTCTGTTATGTCACATTTGGTTTTACTCTCTTCCAAAAAAGTAATAAGAACCGTGGGAGCAATGAAACCCAAAATATGTAATAGTCATGGTACAAAAGAGAGGAAAAGAAAGTGCTCCAAACTATATAACTGCATGTATATTTAAGTGTATAAGATAGAAAATGATATCACAGAGTTTTATTGGATCATTGAACAGAACTGTTTGCAGTATCATTGATAGAATGTCCACTTTACAAGCTTTAATTTTGTGACTTGAACAATTATTTCTAAGATGACAATATGTAATCCATTAACTAGTGATTTCCTACTGTTCATTTTTTTTCTGTAAATCTGTATAACTTGTACCCTTTCCCTGCTTTTTTTTTCTTTTCTCCTTAAATAAAATTTAAAAAATTAAAAAAAATAATAATAATTTCTCTGGGTCTGTTTCCTGATCTGTAAAATGGTGATAATGTCAGTAATTATCACATGACACTGCTGTGAGAATTAAATGAAATAATCCTAGGATCTAGCACACAGTATGTGCTCAATAAATGCCAGCTGAGCTTTTGTTTTGTTTGTAGTGCTGGGGATCAAACTCACGGCCTTGTGCTTGCTAGACAAGTGTTCTACCACCAAGCCACATTTCTAATTCTTATCATTTTTATATTGCCAAAGATATAAAAGTACCTGTAATCCCATCACTCTGGGAAACTGAGGCAGAAGATCAAAACTTTTTTTTTCTGAGACAGGGTTTCACTATGTAGTTCAGACTGGCCTTGGACTCACTTTGTAGCTCAGGCTGCTTTGAACTTGCAAACCATTCTCTTGCCTCAGCCTCCCAAGTACTGGGGATTACAGAATGTATCACTACACCCTGCTAAGAATCAAAATTTAAAACCCCTCAAAAAATAAATCATGGGGCGTGGTGGCTCATGACTATAATCCCAGCACTGGGGGGGTGGGGGGCTGAGGCAGGCGGATCACTGTGAGTTTGAGACCAGCCTGGGCTACAAAGTAAGCTCAAGGCTAGCCTGAACTGCATAGACACTGTCTCAAAAAGACAAAATAAATAAATAAATAAATTTTTTTTTTTTTTTGAGACAAGGTCTCTATGCACTTCAGGCTAGTTTTTTTAGTCTTTTTTTTTTTTTTTTTTTTAGTTCAGGCTAGTCTCGAGCTCACTTTGTAGCCCAGGCTGGTCTCAAACTCACAATGATCCTCCTGCCTCAGCCTCCCAAGTGCTGGGATTACCAGCGTGAGCCACCACACCTGGCTCAAAAAATAAATAAAAAAAAACTGCTGGGGAGCAATTCAGTGCAAAGGCCCTGGGTTCAATTCCCAGTGCCTCCCCCACAAAAGTATACAAGTGGTTGATATGATCTAGATCCAGTCTCTAGGCCCATGTCATGGTATTCTTAGAAGAAGCAATGAAGCCAGGAGGAAACAGTTTGTGAAGATCCCACAAAAGCCACAGGGAGCCACTGAAGGATATGAAGCAGGAAAATGATCCCATCAAAGTTGTGCTTTACAAATTCTTTTCTGCCAGGGATTTAGCTCAGTGGCACAGCTATTCCTGACAAGTGCAAGGTCGTGAGTTCAATCCCCAGTACCAAAAAAATATATAAATAAAATAAAATAAAATAAACCTGTTCTGTCAGCTGGGTAGAGGCACCTAGAAACCAGTGAAGAGGCCAGAACAGGTGCAGGTGAAAGTTGGAATAGCCAGGGCCATATAGGTGGTACCAACCAGATGGGAACTGACTGTATGGAGGCATAGAAGCAGAGGAGGACTCAGGCCCAGGGTGTTGTATGGGCTTGGGTTCCTTATATAACTTCTCTGGGTCTCATTTTCTTCTTCCATAAATAAAAACTATAATAGGATCATGACCTTTATAAGGCTATTGTAAAGATTTAATAAGAAAAAGCAGATGAAGTGCTTAAAAGGGTGCATAGTATACAAATGTACTATTACTATCCCTATTTTTTTTTTTTTGTATTTTTCCTTTTTATCGGTACCAGGGATCAAACTCACAACTGCCTGCTTGCAAGGTAGGCGCTTATGCCGCTGAGCTAAATCCCCAGCCCCTCTATCCCTATTATTAATCATTCCTGTGATTACCACTATTGTTGATTCACTTGACAAACATTTATTGAGTACCTATTGTTTACCCCGTGGTATTCTGAGGATACAGTACTGAACAAGATGAATATGGCTGCAACATAGCTGACAAGAGACAGGAATACAAAAAGTAACAAACGTGCATGAAAATCTCCGATGATGATGTGTTATCTACAGATCATAAGAAACCAAAAAAATGAGACAGCAGCTAAGTGCCTGTAGTAGTCAAGAGACACCCCTCAGAAGGCAGCACAGGAATGAGGGAGAGGCATGGGGGTATCTTTGGAGAGGACAGGACTCAGAGTACACAGTTGCTGGGAAGTATATGGTCCTACCTCTCTCTTGGCCCAGCGGTGGGGGCTGAGCCTCCTCAGTGACCCCTTCTGGAGGTCCAGCAGGTGACACAGGGCGGCTGGGCTGGGGGGTGCCCCCAGGGCTGGGCTCAGTACCCTTTTGCAGGGAGCCTTCAGAATGGAAACTCTGGTTGCTGTTCTCATCTGTGGGAGCAAAAGCTGAAAGGATTGGCCGCAGGTCCCCAATATCCTCCTTCAATCCCTACAGCCCCTCAAATCCAGGATCCCTACATACCATTGAGATCCAGCAGGATGAGAGGGCCACCTGCTCGGGGACTTGTGCCCCTGCCACGCCTCTCTCGGCCACGGGATCTTTCTGTCCCAGCACCTGCCCGCCGTCGCTCCTGGGGTTAGAGGGATAAGGGTCAGAGCCAGCTTTCTAGTTAGCTTTTGCAGACTGCTCTGTAGAAACGAGGAAACAGGCAAAGAGAAGCAAAAGACTCTGCTCTAGGTGACATGAAGGAAGCTGTGTACATTGGGTGGTTCCACCTTGAACTCTGGGGTCTGGAGGAGGGAAAAGGGGGAGGAGCTGTTAATAAATATTAACATCTGTCCGGACTACAGCACTTGGGGTCTTGGAGTGTAGGTAAAGGCAGGGGGAGGGGTGCCTGAGGTTGCACAGATGCAGGGGCACGGTTTGGGGGCTTGCTCACCTCCTCCTGGGGGTCCACCACGGGCACCCACTTGAAGATACGAAGGGAAGTGTCACCCACTGTCACCCAGCGCTTCTCCCTGTGGGAGGGTGGGGGGATGGGTCAGAGAGGTTGAGGGGAAAGGCCCCCAGAGAGAGGGCTACCTGCAGAGTTGGGTCAGATTAAGAAGGCAGAGCTAGTTTTCCATGGGACATGACTAGCAAGGGAAAGCTGGCCTTGTGAACCCCAAGGCATGGATAGATGCCTCTAGAGAGAGGGTATGTGTGACCTGGGATCGTGGCTCTGCAGATCCCTGGGGTACATGGAGGGGGCACCTCTGTGGGCCTGGCTGAGGGAGTCTAGCAATGAAGATCGCGCAGCATGCTTGCAGGAGGAGTGTCAGAGCTTTAGGGGGCGGGACGTGGAGGAGGGATCCCGCTCGGGAAAGGCGCGGCAGGGGACCACGCTTTGTAGACCGCCCGGGAGTAGCAAGAGAGAGGGGAACAGAACCCTGCCGATCCAGGGCATAGCTGCTGGGCAAGGACCCGCCTCACACCTGAGGCGCCGGCCAGCCGCCTTCGGAATGGTGGCCTCACCACGTCCCGTCCCTGGCCTCGGGGCAGCGCTCACCATCGCCGGACCTTCTCGATGGTCGCCATCACCTTCTTGATGTCATCTTTGGCCCGGCTCCGGGTCTCAGCCCGCACGGTCCGGCCGGCCATGGTAGCAGCGCTGGGGCCGGGCCGAGCCCGGGGCGGGATCGCCTCCCGTCCGGCGGACGCGGGCTCCGCGCCAGACCCCGGCGCCGCTCTCGCAGCCTGACGTCCCTCCGGGAGTTGGCCGCGCCCTCCCGCTCCTCACAGCCTCCGCGAGTCCCCGCCCCGCTTCCTGCCGCCGCTTTGGCCCGGCCCCTCCCCGCGGCCTGGGGCGAGCGGGGGGCGGGGCCAAGGAGTGCAGACCACGTGGGCTCCGGGGACAACGCAAGGGCGGGTGTCCCGGTGTGCATTCGCTGCGGGTGGGCGTCGCTGAAAGGCCGCGCGCTCAGGCGCTTGCGCACTCACGCTTCCGCTTTCAGGCTGGCTGATTTTACGTTGCGCGTCCTGTTCATTCATTCCTCAACAGTCTCTTTAAATGAGTACCAGTTACCTGCCAGACCGACTATAAGTGGATCTCCTCAGTCAGCATGAGCAAAGTGAGAAAGAATGACCACACCAAGTGTAGGCGAAGATCTGCTTATCTTTATGGGGAGGTGTAATTTGATAGAGATCCTTGAAAACCCGCAGTTTCCTAGGGAACCCAAACATATGCCAAATCTGTGATCCCGCAGTTCCGCTGTTCATTTATCAATACCTAGCAGAAAAGCATGTTTGTGCATCAAGAATGTTCAGTGCACTATTCACAATACCCCCTGGGTGGAAACAACCCATCAAGTAGAATGGAAAATGAATTATGACCGTTTTATACTATTTAGACACAGCAACTAGAATGACTGATGTCCTGCTAAATCCCATTGGACAAGTGTCATGAGCAAACTTTGAGGAAAAGAAGATAACTACAAGAGTACGCACTAGAGGCTGGGTGTGGTGGCAGATGCCTGAAATCCCAGCACACTGGAGCCTCAGGCAGGAGGATTGCTGTGATTTTGAGGCCAGCTTGGAGTACATAGTGAGTACAAGGATAGCCTGAACTACATAGCAAGATCCTGTCTTAAAAACAAAACAAAACACATTAGATGAATGTATATGATGTTCAATAACAAGAATTTATAATTTTTTTTTTTTGGTCTTTTTCCTTTTTATCGGTACCAGGGATCGAACTCACGACTGCCTGCCTGCAAGGCAGGCGCTTATGCCGCTGAGCTAAATCCCCAGCCCCAAGAATTTATAATTTGAGAAGTTGTGATAGTGGTCACCCTTGGGACTGGGAGGGATGCAAGGAAGATCTTCTGGGAGTTGGTCATTTTATGTTTCTTAATTCAGTGCTGGTCCTTTGGGCATATTTACTCTGAAAATACATGAAGTTGTACACTTAAGTGTGTACATGTCCATGTGTGGCTTATATTTCAATTAAAATTTACTTAAAATTAATGTGATATGGTTATTGTTTTGTTTTGTTTGAAACATGATCTTGGGCTGGGGATTTAGCTCAGGGGCATAAGCGCCTTCCTTGCAAGCAGGCAGTCATGAACCGATCCCCGGTACCGATTAAAAAAAAAAAAAAGGAAACATGGTCTTACTACATAGTTCAGACTAATCCTGAACTCACAGTATAACCCAGGTTAGCCTCAAACTGACCTCCTGCCTCAGCTCCCAGATACTGGGGTTATAAGCATGTGTAGTGTCATTCCTGAACTTATGGTTGCTTTTGAGGCTGGCCAATCATATATACTGTGTCTAAATTTGTGCTGTTGTCCCTGTGTGTATTTTTTAAAAGCACATCTGTGAGTTTTGGAATGATCATATCCAAAGAATAAGGGGCTGGGGGTTTAGCTCAGCGGCGTAAGCGCCTGCCTTGAAAGCAGGCAGTCGTGAGTTCAATCCCCGGTAGCGATAAAAAAGAAAAAGACAAAAAAAAAAAGAGTAAAAGGGACTGAGAAGCTAATTATGGTAGCATTTCTGAAGCCAAACTACTGAGGTAAAATCTCAGCTCTGTCACACTCAGCTGTGTGACACTGGACAAGTCACTCACCTCCATTTCCTCATCTGTAACACAGAAGTTTAGGACAGAGCCTGGCACACGTAAATACCCATTGTTGATAGGTGCTGATAGGTGCTGATAGGTGCATGCTTGTGACCCCTGCTGACAGGCTGCTATACCAGTTATCTCCTTTGTCCTGGCAGTTGTCTGGTAGTAGCCTCTCAATCCTTTTGTTCCTAAAGTTTCCTGCTGCTGTTTATTTATGTCCTCGCAGAGTGTGAGCTACTTAGGGGACCAGAGACCAAATATGGGCCATGACTATTCCAGAGCCCAGGACAGAGTTTGTGCTTGGGAGCCAATTGCGGGGATGAGTCTTCAGTTCCTTCAGTGTCCACACCAGGTTAATGGGACTGCTGTCTTTTTTTTTTTTTTTGGATACTAGGGATCCCTTGTGCTTGCCAGGCAGGGGCTTATGTCACTGAGCTAAATCCCCGGCCTAAAGGCTTTTGTTTTTTTGGGTTTTTTTTTTTTTTTTGTTACTGGGGATTGAACTCACACACTTATGCTGCTAATCTAAATCCCCAGCGACCTTCTATACAGGTCTCTGAAGCTTCTTCTCAATGAAGTGAGAATGTGTGTCTATACACTTTACCTTCAGTATATGCATGTATGTGAGGGGATGGTCTATTACTGGGCCTAATGAGGTGAGGTGGGGTCTGTGTCCCTACTGGCAGGTGTGAGGATAAAGGTGAAAGTATCTGAGATAGGCTAGGAGGTGTATGTCTAGTCAGGTTTGTTCAAACCCCTCTGCTTCCACCGCCCCTCTCTTGCCTCATACCCCCAGCAGGCGAGAAGGACTACAAATTCCTGCCCTGCCAGCCTGCACCTTCTTTCTCTTGCGCCCCAGTTTTCACCACAAAGGAGCCCAGACTTCCAGCCCTGCCTCAGGTAGGAAACAGCAGCATATAGGGTTGCCTCCTGGGCCCTGACACCCCCAGCCGCCAGGTCCATTCATCATGCCAACAACCTGCCTCCCACTTTGGGCCTCTTCCCAGACTAGGCCCAGAAGGCGGGGAGCTGAGCTCAGGGCCAAGGAATCTGCCTGGAAGCCGCGGTGTAGGGGGGGGGGGGACCTCTTTGGGGTCTGGGCTATGATTGGCTGTGCCTGGGCCACGCCTCTACCCCTTCTCCCCTTCTTCCCCCTCGGAAGGGGGGCGTGGAGGGAACCGGGATCAGCCAGGGGCCAGCATGAGCCTGAGGGAGGGAAGTCTGGGTAAGGGGCTGAGGGACTAGACACTGGGTCCCTGAGGAGAGTAGGAGTCAGAAAGGGTGACAGCTGGGGTCTGGGTCTCTACCATCCTGGGTCCGGGAGGGGTGTCGCCTGGGCGGGGGAAAACGGGCTCCGGTGTCAGGTAACTAGCGGGTGAGTTGGGAGACCGGCAGGCGCAAGGGCTTGGGGGTAGGCCTGGGGTTGAGGCTTCAGGGGTTTCAGTTCAAGGGTTAGATCACCGATCAAACCGGTGAGTACACCCTAAGGGAGGGCTGGAGTCTGAGCTGGGGCAGCCAGAAGCCTCTTTGAGATTTGGACAAGATTCAAGTATTGTGGAGGAGCTGCTGAGGATCACTACTGGTGGTGGGAAACTCGGGCGGGGGCGGGGCGGCAGTCGCCGGGTCAGGACTACATTCTCCAGTTTACACTGGGTGCCCGCCTTGTGCTTCTTGGGAAATGTAGTCCTCCTGAAGCGCCACGCTTTGGACGCTGATTCACTGATGCTCAGCCGCGCGCTTTGCGTTCAGTGGGCATGAAGAGGGAATGGAACTTCCCTCAAACAGGCCTTAAGGCATATTCCAATTTGAAGTTCTGTTCTTTAACTCTATCAGCAATCACAGAGGTACCTGTAAGGCCTATTCTTAAGGGGATCCAGGGCCACAGCGAATACACAGAGGTAAAAAAGCTACTTTGGAAGTATAAACAAATAGCCTTAAAGTCAAAGGAAAAAATTCATTTCAGGGAAGAGAGAATTTGGAAGCTGCACTAAGGAGGCAGCGTTTGAATTTGGCTTTAACAGGATTTCAACAGTGACATGAAGACAGGGAACACATTTCACATAGAGCAACTGCTTGACAATGATATGCTGCCTCATTTTTCCTCAGTTGAAATGGAACACTCTTCCGAACACTGGAGAATCCAGAGCAGAGTTTCAGTTCAGGAAGGAAGAGCCCCCTCCCTCTTCCCCTGGCCTGGGGAGCAGTGGTCAAGGAGCAAGGGTTCTCGGGCTGCCCTCATTCTTACCCCCCTTTCCCACCAGAAGACCCCCAGGCTGACACCTCAGTCTCATTCCTTCCCCACTTGGAGGCCAAGATCCGTCAGACACACAGCCTTGCCCACCTCCTCACCAAATATGCTGAGCAGCTGCTCCAGGAATATGTGAGTGAGAATGGGGGTTGGGGTGTCAAGGGTCTGGGGATTGGGGAAGCACAGGTCACAGAGGTCCTCCATCACCCATTTGCTTAATCTCATCCCCAGATGTGAAGATCAGGGCATTGGAGAGGGACAGTAACTTGTTCCTGATCACATAGCAAGCTGGAGGAGAACCCTATCTGTTCCCCATATAATAATCTCTCTGCCACAGTTTGGAAGCTCTCTTCTTGGTGCTTAAAATCAGAAACAACCTGAGAGAAAAAACAGAACTCTCCTCTGAGAGTTAAGAAACTGAGATTTAGGTTCCATGTGATTGTATCACACAGGGAAGTGAACTCTTCTAACTGGGATATTCAGAGAGGCCAAAAAGGAGTTTCCACTTGGAGCAAAAAGTCTGTCCTACAGAGGGACTTTTAGAGAGAAAAACAGTCTCTCAATATCTTTACCCAGAGAAAGAAGATATTTCCCAAAGGAGGTGGCTATAGTTTTGTATCAGGCAGACTATAAGCCTGCTTGTGGCCATTTATGATCAATTAAAAATTATGATAAACTTAAAATAATAATGTAATAATTATGACAGTGGGTGGTGGGATAGTAGAAATAGCGATATAGTCCTACTAAATTTGGCTCAAATTCCAGCTCTGCCACTTCTTAAATAGCTGACCTACATCACTGTTTGTCTTCAGCACAATTTTTTCATCTACCATCACACTCATCACTGGAGAAATATTGTGTTTGAACCAACAAACAATGCCTGACCCAGGGGCAAGATGTTTACAAAGGAAAAGGTTTTTTTTTTTTTTTTTTTTTTTTTGAGATGGGAGTCTCGCTGTGCAGTTCAGGCTGGCCTTGAGCTCATTTTGTAGCCCAGGCTAGTCTGGAACTCAACGATCCTCCCACCTCAGCCTCCCCAGTGCTAGGATTACAGGCGTGAGCCACCACACCCGGCAAAGGAAAATGTTATTATGCCATTTGACAAACTGCAAATCACTTTTATCTTTCATTTGTTTATTGAAATGACAATGACTCAATGAGTCCATACTCAATACATATACAAAAGTTGGAGAGGATGGGAAGAGTTGTGAAGTCAAATGGATCCTTCTACTACCATCCATGATTTCCAAGAAACCCTGGTAGAAAGGCAGACTAGGGAGCAGCGCCCTCATTGTACAGCTAAGAAGACTGAGGCTCCTAGAAGGTTTTGCCTAAAATGGCTCAACTAGTAAGTGGCCAAGAAAAGATTTAAACCTGAGTCTGTAAGATAACATTAATAAAAGAGCTAATGTTTATTGAGCCCTTCCTAAGCCCTGTCTTTTTTTTTTTTTTTTGTCTTTTTCATTTTTATCGGTACCAGGAATCGAACTCACGACCGCCTGCTTGCAAGGCAGGTGCTTATGCCGCTGAGCTAAATCCCCAACCCCTGTAAGCCCTGTCTTTAAGCACTTCATATACCTACCAACCTTGAGAAGTTGACACTGTTATTGGCTTCATATTAGAGAAGAGGAAACAAAGGCATTGGTGTAAAGAGTAGGTTGCTTTTGGTCCCATCTCAAACATAGCACCCCTGGTAGGAGGGATTTATCGTTTGGAGGCAAGGAATCAGGCTGCCGGCAAAGGAAGGAGGGCTCAATGAAGTGTAGACAGCCCTCACCGCCGCCCCGTCCCCGCCCCCCCCCCCGTTTTGCCCCTTCGGGGGCCGAGAGCCGCTGACCCCGCCCACTGCCTGTCTCCGCAGGTGCAGCATCAGGGAGCCCCGTTCGGCTCGCCCGGATTCTCTCCGCCGCGGCTGCCCGTGGCCGGCCTGAACGCACCGGCGCCTGGCCACGCGGGGCTACCGCTGCAGGAACGGCTGCGTCTGGACGCGGTGGCGTTGGCTGAGCTGCCCCCGCTGTTAGATGCTGTGCGCCGCCGCCAAGCAGAGCTGACCCCCCGCGCGCCGCGCCTGCTGCGGCGCCTGGAGGACGCGGCGCGCCAGGCCCGCGCGCTGGGCACTGCGGTGGAGACCGTGCTGGCCGCTCTGGGCGCCGCGGCCCACGGGCCCCGCCGCGAGCCCGCGGCAACCGCCGCTGGCGCCACCCCCGCCCCCGTGGGCGTTTTCCCGGCCAAGTTGCTGGGGCTGCGCGTGTGCGGCCTCTACCGCGAGTGGGTGCGCCGCACCGAGGGCGACCTGGGCCAGCTGTTGCCCGGGGGCCCTGCCTGAGTGCTGCACTCGCTGTCGCCTCTGCCCTGTCTCTGTCTCCCTTCTTCCACCTGGCTCCACTTCCCTGTTTCTCTCCACCTCCACCAGTGTCTGTTCTCGACTGTCAATGTCAAGCTGTACCCATTCCGTTCCTTTTTCTCTCTGGACCTATCTGCATGCCACGTCCCCTTGGCCTAGTTTTCTCGCCATACCTCACCTTCTTCATGCTTGAGCCTGTTTCTGTCTCTCAGCTTCATCTAATGGAGGTACACCTTTGTCTCTCTGTCTCTCAGGCCCTCTGTTTGACCTGTGCTGGCCAGGAAAAGTACCTGCGGTCCTGTGGGGGGAAGGCACCCCCCACCTCCAGTCACCCCATCTTCCAGCTGCCCTCACTCTCCGGATTCATCCCTTTCGGCCTCCTCCTCTCCTTTTGATGTCCTTCCTGTCCTTTAACTGCCTCTCTCCTATTCCTGCACAGCTCTCTCCCCCAGCCAGGTCTGTGGTAAGGGGGTGGGGGTGAAGCAAAATCTTAAAAGAGTTTTATTTCATAATAAATAATATTTTGTAAATAAAATGTTCAAAATTAAAACTAAAATTTCCTGTACATACTGTACATACAGTTGTTGAAAATAGGTAGACAACTTTGAGATGCACAGAATCTTTGGGGTACAGGCTGATCCTCTCCACAACATATCCAAAAGGCAAAGTATAAACAGGAAATTCAGGCTGAGGATTCCAACTGTCAGCCCAAAACAGAAAGTGGATGTGTCCTGAGCAGAAAACAGACATAACATAAATCCTTACTTCTTCCAGGATTGGATTTCCATTAATCAGAAGTAAAAGCTGCTTCAGACAGAAAGAAGGCTGAACAGTGGCCACAAGTAGACTAGCAAAGGAAATGAACTCCAGCATGGAGGAAGAAGGCCTCTTCTTCAGAAAGGCTGTATCTTCTTGCAGGAAGTGAGGTAGACAAACAGGAAGGCAGCCCTTCCCCAAAATTACAGGAAGGGGAAGGTCTCCAAGGGAGCTCAGGGAGAAGACCAACTGTCCCGGGAGCCTCTTCCAGACAGTGTCTTCTTTCCAACTAGAAGTAAGAAAGCTGGTACCACTGGATGAGGATCCACAAAAGGGACCTATGGTGACCCACCCAGATGTGGATGGAGGCTATTGTACCTAGGTGGGAAGCTCTAGGCATTAAGGAATGGAGACCCGGCTTCCAGGAAATATTCCCAAAGACATGGCACATAGCTGTCTGATTAGATGTCACTCTATCTCAGAAGCAAGGTGGAAAAAGAGACATTGTGAAAGAGGAATCACTGCAGACTCCTGACAGGAAGTCCTACCCTTCATGCTGGGTACTTGGCCTTGAGCAGAGCCAAATCCCTCACAGCTCGATCTGTCCAGTGACCATATTCCCGGGTCACTACATACCCACGACATTTTCTCTCAAAGGCGGAAGCCCCAAAGGGGACAACCCCAATAGTGTCTTTTTCTGGAGGAACAGGCAGCCCAAGGGCATTCATGATGGCAGCCACATTGCCAAGCAGACCTTGGGCTCTCAGTCTTGCAACTCCAAGCTGGGCCAGCAGGATAGGACTACCAGGATTCAGGTTACTCTGATCATCTCCCACAAGCTGGAGGTGCTGTGTCAAGGCCTGGAAGGCTCCCTGGGCCTGGCTCAGGCGCTCCCCATCATCCAAAGCATGCCAGATCTTGAAAGGAACTGCAGCAGGAGGCAGGCTGCTGAGCTGGAGCTCAGGAGCTGAGAAGCCAGGGTCGCTAAAAGGGCTGCCCTGGTACTGGAGCTGCAGGAAGGACAGGGACAAAAAGAAATAAGGAAATTAACATGTTTGCTCTTTGAGATTGGACAGTTGGTGGGATATTCTAATACAGGGCAACTGGGGCTAGGGATTTAGCTCAGTGGCATAAGTGCCTGCCTTGCAAGCAGGCAGTCATGAGTTCGATCCCTGGTACCGATAAAAACGAAAAAAAAAAAAAAAAAAAGCTAATACAGGGCAACTGCCCTATCAGTTCCTATTGGTCTGCCACATATTTAACTCAGTGGTGTAAGTACCTGCCTGGCAAGTGCAAGGTTGTGAGTTTGATCCTGGTACACACACACACACACACACACACACACACAATCAGTGCAGGTTCCTATTGTTTATCCTTCATGTACTCCCAGATGGACAATGAATCACAAGTTTCTTTCTTTCTTTCTTTCTTTTTTTTTTTTTTTTTCTGTACCAGGAATTGAATTTAGGGGCTTGTTCTTGCCAGACAGGTACTGCACTGCTGAGCTACATCCCAGGTCCAATCACAAGTTTCTGTAACTCTCATATGGCAATATTATTGTCACAACAATAGCAAATAATATATGTAAAGCACTTACAGTACAGCACTCAACACAATAAGGACCAACTGGATTTTTTGTTTTTCTGTTCCGGGGATTGAACTCATGACTGCATGCTTGTAAAGCAGGCACTTATGCTGCTGTGTTAAATCCCTGGCTACAACACGTAAGGACATGAAAAGGCATCATTATCTAATGGTATATAAAATCAACAAATATTGTAGTTATATGTTTATATTGTTCTCAATCCAAATATATTGAAGTGCACTACAATTACAACTGATATTTCTTTTATTTATAGTATTTAGTCTGTTAATTTTATTGCAATTCTCTCTGTGTCTCTTTACTCCCTGTTATCTGTCCTATAGGTATCCAAGGGTCAATCAGCCCTAGGTAGGTGAAGGCTAGGAGATTGTGGTGTGGAATTCCACAGTCTTGGTTTCAGATCTGGACACACTGCCAGTTATCAGTTATATGTCCTCAGGTAAATTATTCACTCTCTCTTATGAACTCAGTTTCCACATCTGTAAAATTGGTTTTAACTCCATCTTTCAGAATGTTTTGAGGAGTCTAATAAAGTCATAAACTAGAGCCAGGTGTGGGGGTACTCACCTGTAATCCCAGAACTTTGGGAAGATGAAGTAGGGGAATCACAAATAAGAGCCAATCTGGACAACTTGGTGAGGCTTTGTCTCAAAATGAAAAATAAAAAAGGGCTGAGTAGCTCAGTACCATGGCCCTTCAATCCCCAGTACTGGGAGGAAGGGATTACATGCACAGTGCCCAATTGTTAAAGCCCTTCCTTCTCTGTAACACACCTGAGAGGTCAGCAAGGCTGAATCTCCATCCCATTTTGCAGATGAGGAAGCTGAGGTCAAGTGAAGGAACGACTTGCTCACAGACACCTAGTCATTGTAGCAACACTTGAGTGACTGTATCCCTAGTTAACAGAGCCCCTAGCACCTAGGATCCACAGAGGAGTCTCCTAGGCTCTGGTTCCTCAACCCAGAGCAATGTCCCTCCTCCCTCGTCCCCTGCATGTCCAGTGTCACTCACATAGGTCTGCAGCAGTGTTGATGTATTCTTCTGCATGTAGAGAGCCAGGCTGTAGGCTTGACTGATGGGCTCAGCTGGGGAGATGGGGGCTGCCAGTCTCAGGCGTGGCAATAGCAGACTCAGTAGGCAGAGGGAGGCTGACAGAGGAAGTCAGAGCTCAGCACAAGGTCCCTGGCCTTGCCTGCCAATTCATTCACTTATCCTAACAACTCCAAAGATACCCTTGTAATTGCCTTGTGTTTCTAAGTCAGGGCAGAATCACCATGTACGTAGATTATTTCCAGCCTAGAACTCCACTTGAACTTCCCTTGAACTCCAAACCCACATATTCAACTTGCTACTTGACATTTTCTCTTGCACATTTATAAACATTCTAAAATACCACATTCCAACTCAGTATTTCTTCCCCTCCAGCATTCTTCCAGTTGCTCAGGACCAAACCATTGTGTTTCTTTTTTTCTTTTTCAGATTGTCTTGCTATGTAATTCAGGGTGTCCTTGAACTCACTGTGTAGCTCAGGCCAGCCTCAAATGCACAATGGTCCTCCTGCCTCAACCTCCCAAGTTCTGGGATTACAGGCATATGCCACCATGCCTGGCCAGGGCTAGGGAGAGGGCATTCCTCTTTAAGACCGCATTTTATTCTCTATGCATCCAATTCTTTTGGCTCTATTTTAATCCTTTTGTCTCTATTTTAAATGGTAGCCAAGCAAGTGTTTATTTTATAAAACATGAGATGCTCTATGAATTTACATGTCATCCTAGCTCAGGGGCCATTCTAATTTTCTCTGCATAATTCCAATTTTAGTATAAAAGCAAACATATTATATGTGTTTCTGGATCTGAGTGCTGCTTACAAGGATATGGTTTTTCTAAACTGGGTGTGGTGATACATTCCTATAATCCCAGCACTCTGGAAGGCCAAAACAGGAAGATCACATGTTCAAACCTAATGGCAATACTGGGGATTGAACCCAAGAAGATGAGGTACGGGGATCACAAGTTAAAGCCAAGCTGGACAACTTGGTGAGATTCTGTTGCAAAATGAAAAAAAATGTGTACTCTCAGAATTAATTAATTATAGGCAGAGTCTCATTAAGTCTCTAAATTGCCCAGATTGGGCTCAAACTTGCCATCCTCCAACCTCGGCCTCCCAGAGTGCTGGGATTGCAGGTGTGTGTGCCGCCATGTTTGGGTTAGCCCAGGGAATAAAACATTTTAAACTCAAAATTCCCACTACTCAACTCAGTAATCCTCCAACCCCAGCATTATTCTAGTTGCAATTTATTGAGATCTTGTCTTTCAGTATAAGAAATAAAAGAGGGCTGAGGAATTAGCTCATTGAAAAGGCCTTGAGTTCAATATCCAGTAACAACAATAAATGAAAAGGATATGGTCTCTGTGAAAATGTATTGAGCTGCACGCTTATGACTTGTGTATTTTTCTGTATACTTATTACTTTCAATAAAAACTTTTAAAAAGCCGTACGTGGTGGCTCACGCCTATAATCCCAGCACTCGGGAGGCTGAGGCAGGAGGATCACTGCGAGTTTGAGACTAGCCTGGGCTACAAAGTGAGGCTAGCCTGGGCTCAAGGCCAGCCTGAACTGCATAGCGAGACCCTGTCTCAAAAAGACAAAAAAGAAAGAAAGAAAGAAAGAAAGAAAGAAAGAAAGAAAGAAAAACTTTTTAAAAGGTATATCCAGAATCTGACCACTTTACCTCCTTCCATTGTTACCACCCTAATCCAAGCCCCCAATATCTCTCACCTCCTCACTGGTCTCTGCTTATACCCTGGCCACAACGTGTCCTTCCCTTGCTGAACATTCCCATGGCTCCCAGCTGACTCAGTAAAAACCAAGTCCTCAGTGGGTAGGCGGATGCCTGGGCCACATACACTGGCTTTGTTATGTTTTGTTGGTATTCTTACCTGGGGCGTTTACCCTTGCAGTGCCCTGTCCAGGTAACCCCGAACCATCCCTTGGCTGCCTCTTTCCTGTCTCCAGGTCCCTGCTCAGCTCAACTATGCTGATTCCCTACACCCAAGGTCCTTCCCTCTCCCTGACCGCCTGTCTTCCAGAATTTTTGTTATCTGAGAATGTCAGTTTCAAAAAAGGCGAAAACCACCTGGTTCATTCATTGCTGATTTTTCCTAAGAAATATTTCTTGAATGAATGAGTGAGTGAAGGAGGTATGAACAGCCGTATTCTAACCTCTTTTTGATTACCTGAATCCAAGGGCTTACTTTTTAAAAATTTATTTTATTTTATGATTTTATTTTTTGTGGCACTGGGGATCAAACTCACGACCTCACACTTGCCAAGCAGGCGCTTATGCTGCTGAGCTAAATCCCTGGCCCTTATTTTTATTTTTTTGTGTGTTCCTGGGAAGTGAACCCAAGGTCTTGCACACGTTAAGCAAGCTCTGTGCCACTGAGCTACTTCCTCAGCCCAGGCATGCTTATTTTCAGTTCAAATATGTAATGCAAAACTGTCCTCACAGAGGGCTGGCCCTATTTGCGTTCCTACCTCTGAGTGTGAGATTCAGAGCAGAGGAAAATGCCCTGTTACCTAGGAAGTCAAGGAGATGAGAGGGAGAGGCAAACCTAGGAGGCCCACTTCATTCCTCTTTCTGCATTCCTGAGATCCTAGAAGTTCTGAACCAATTAAGAAACAGTTGAAAATGAATGAGCTCATCCCGATCGCACTGGCATTATAATTTACTTCAATATTGCCTGTGTCCTGTATCTGCACAATGAAGTTGCCATCAAGCCATAGATTTTCCTCTGTTCACAGCTGTATCCTGAAATGCTTAGAGCAGTCCAGCCAGTCCTGGGTATCTGTTCCCTCTGCATCCACACATTCAACCAGCTGCAGACGGGAAATTGCATCCAGTACCTAACATGCATAGACTTTTTTTCTCGTTATTATTCCCTAAACAATAGGTACAGCAGCTATTTGTACAGCATTCATGTTGTATTAGGTATGTGATTTATAAAGTATTTGGAAGATTGGGTAGGCTATATGCAAATTATCACACCCTTTTCTATCAGAGACTTGAGGTTCCACAGGTTTTGGTATCCTGAGGTAGGGAATTTCTGAAACCAATCCTCCATACATGCCAACTACATTTAGTACATACTAGGGACTCAGTGAATATTTGTTGAGTCAATAATGTACAAAGCCTTCTCTGTCGAGGAATCAGAGGTTTCATCAGGTGCATGCTCCCTAGACACATGCACCAGAGCAGCCCGATAGGCAGCTGGGAAAGGTGCTACCCTCCAGGCCTGGTGCTCTCACCCCTCACTCACCCACCGGACAGCTCATGCTCCCTCCTGGGCTCCTTTCTCTCTGTAGTCTGTGGGTCTTTCCAGGGCACCTGTTCTGTCCCTTAAGTGGCTTTATACCTGGGACTGAACCCTGGAGCTGCCCAGGAGGCAGGGAAGGAGTCACACCCTGCAGAAGGAGGGCGGGCAGTGGACAGGGTCCTGGCAGAGAATGAGGTAGGCACAGCTGGGAGACATGACAGGGAAAGGTTTGGGAGGGACCCAGAGGAGGGCATACATTCCAGGCCATGCAGAAGCCCTAGAGATAGCAATAGCTAGGGAAGGGGATGCTGAGATGACACCTTAGCCCCCTCTCAGCCCCCAAATTAGACCTTAAACCCTGGTGGGTGTAGGGAGGGGGCAAGGGCTAGAAGGGATTATGGGGGACAAAGGGGCCGCCTTGTTCCCTGCTGCTCTGCACGTCCTGGGATCCAGTTTCTCCTGAGGAGGCGGCCCCCTGCTCCGCCCCCGCCCACAAGGACCCAGGCACTGAGCCCTGGCTCCCAAGGAGTTTGGAAAAGGAATAGGAGAGGTAGCATAGGAGCAGTGTTATCCACACCAGGGTACCCCCCCTTGGACACAGGAGTATGCACACGTCCACACACAGGTGAGCAGGTGAGCCTACCACAAGCAGGTGGGCACACACACTTTCATGTATTCACCTATCCAAGTATGTCTGGCCCTACTCTGTGTCAGTCTCTGTTCTAGGTGCTGGGGACAGAACATGGAACATGAGCAACAAACATTCCTGCCGAATGGAGCCAACCTAGCAGGTGTGCCTATGTGTGTGTCACATCAGGCCGGGCCTACACGCATCACACAGCCAGAAATCCAGAGAAAGATGCTTGATTGCACACAGTGAGTGCCAGTGAGAACCTGCACAGGGGGAGGACCAGCCGGCAGACATGACGGGGGTGTGCATTCCGGCTGCTCTCACGTGTGCGCACAGACACACATGCAGCCAGCACGGGGGGTGGGGTGGGGAGAGAGGCTGCATCTAGCTGCCTTTCAGCCTCTGATAGGTTGGGAGCTCTTGTCCTTCTGTCCAGCACAACACACAGGGCCTTCTCTCTCAGAGGCCTGCGGCTGAGGAGCTGGTGGGGAAGAAATCTCGCCCCAGAGCTTCCTCACGCTCTCCACAGAGGGGAAACATGCTCACCTCTGTGAAACAGAGAGGTGTCCCTACTCTGACTCCATCCAGTGGGCCACAATACTGATTCACCACCACTGTTAGGGGTCATGAGGAAAAAGAGGGGCCATTCATACCGTCGACAAGTAGAATACAGCACTTACTCTGTGGCACCAGGTAACCTAAAAGCACGCAAGACCCCTCCTCGTGTGCAACAGTCCAGTGTAGAGACGGTAATCAACATGTGAGCTAGCAAAAACCAAAAACACTAAAGGGGTTGATGTGGAAATGGGGACTAAACTAAGGAAAACAAAGCCCAGAAAGGGGAAGCTACTTACCTGGGGTCACACAGCAAACCCAGGGCAGATCCTGGGCCCTGCCTCTCAGCTTGAGTTGTGAGATGGGGTGTTTCCTGAATCTGAGCTGTGAGCTGCAGGAGGGAGGAGGTTGAGGATAAAGATGGTTCTGAGTTGGGGGCTCTGAACAGCATCTTCAAGACTGGGGGCCAGCAGGCTGCCAGGTAGGGCCAGTACTAGGCAGGTGGTGATGTCAGGGATTAGAGGAGGCCCATTGAGTCGGTGCACTGAGGCGTGGGCCAGGCCATGGCAGTGGAGTAGAGGGATGGGGGGAGGGGGAAAGGGGGACAGATACTTGATCTGTGCTATTCACAAGTGGAGGTGTACGTGGTGCTGGGCCTCTCTTGGGAGGAAGGCTGACCCCTACCCGACCTCACCCCGTCTGCCTTCTCAGGGCTTCTCTTTCTTTCTTTTGATCCTCAAGGTCCCTATAACTGGAGGAATCAGCCCCACCCCAGGCCCAGATTCATTTGTGAATGGTGACAATCCTGGCAGAGGTCAGAAGCCTGTGTACCCTCTGCTGTTCCACTCCTTATGGGTCTGCCTGCCTCCATTTCTATTTTTTTCTCACTAGAAGCTGCTATCATCAGAATAACAGTAATTTATGATTCAGAGGGTTTGGGTTCAAGTTCCGCCTTTGTTCATCACTAGCTTAGCCAAGTTATAAAACCTCTCAGAGCCTTCATTTGTTTCTTTAACTAGACACAGGAATAATAATTCCCATCCCCCAGACCCTTGTCACTTCTACCCACCCAGTGCTCTGATCCCAATAGAATACAGTATATAATGTACCAATGGCAATAGTCTCCTGCTCTGAGCCCAGTGCCTATCCCAGTTGTACACGTGTTTCTAAGAAATCTGATGTCCATCCATCCCCTATGCCCCTCAAGCATGAGCCCAGCATCATCCAGAAACCACAACAAGGCCCATTCAGAACAATAAAGGTGACTTCCAAGGCAGATCCCCACCCTCCCAACCCCAGTCCCATTCCTGAATATAAATCTTCACCCAGCCCAAGGTGGGTGTG